TACTCTTGTGGTCCCCAAGGCCCCCCCCCCCCAGGAATTGAGAGAGCCGTGTTTTATTTAGGGCTCTTCTCCAGACTTGTTAGCCGGCCTTGAGCCAGTCACCTCCTCTCTGCTCTTCAAATGCCCCATTCAAGGGTTTTGAGCTAGGAGAAAAATAGAGTTAGTGTTTTTATTGCTTGCTATAGCTCCTTCCATAGTTGTTTTTGTCCTGATGCATTCGCTTCATTGGAACTCTTTATAGCCTCTTGGCAATTTAGGGACTTTGGAGAGGGAAGTTAGGAGTACCTAAGGACAGAGGAAAGGGGACAACTTGCTGCTTAACACCATGCTCTGCTTATAAAAACTGCTATACTGGGGCCAGCAGGTGGCATGGTGGTTAAAGCACTGGACTCTCACATGGATAACTGTGGTTAGAATCCTGGACCTAGCAACTTGAAAATCAGGCTGAGCGCATGTCCGTGCATGCCCAAAATCCTGAGGGGAGAACATAGGAGAAGGAATTGTGGCATCATCACCTCCTCCCATCCTGAGGGGACAATGTACGAGAAGGAATTACGGCATGATCATACCCCCTCCACCCCTATGGGGAGATTTTTCACTTTCCCTCTCTCTGTCTCTCCAGTGAGCGCATGTGCCCTATGGGAAATATATATATATATATATATCATAGGAGCGGTAATTGAGCCACTTCATTCAAGGAGGAGATTTTATGTGCAAATTACTGTTGTCGAAGACTTAGAGGAAAATATTTCCTGGTATTGTTATCCTATGCCCCTTTGGGAAATCAGTGAACTAAACTGGTATGATCCTGCAGATTGGAGACTTCAGAGCCTTGGAGAAGATTTCACGGGAAGTCAAGTCGATTACAATTATTGGTGGTGGTTTCCTTGGTAGTGAACTGGCCTGTGCTCTTGGCAGAAAGGGTGAGCATTGGGGAGTGACCTCGATTTCCTTTCTCTAGTCTTACATCACATGCATTTTGGTGGGCCCTCAGAAATGCCAGAGAGATATTTGCCAGGATCACTAGAAACAGTTTGATTGGGGTTTACATGGGGGAAAGTGAAGCTCTGCGATTACCGCTGCTGAGGGTTCCCTTGGTGACCACAAAGCTGTTATCTGAGCAACTTAACAGCAGTGCTTTCCTTCCACTCCTCTAACCTCTATGCCAGGACTCCTTAGAAAGAAAATAGTGAGGAAAGTGAGTTCTTCAGCTGATGATAAGGGCGGCGCAACCACAGAGCCATGTGTATCTTTGAACTGCCGCTCCCGGTAAAAAGCCAAAAACTTCCTTCAGGCACATAATGGTTTGCAGCTTGACAGACCTATGAGTTGCAGTTTGAAGATTTCACGGCAACCATTCTTGGTATTATTTTTCAGCTACGTGAGATCAGGGCGTCTTTTTTTCTTTTCTTTTTCGTTCAAAGGTCGCAAAGCATTTATGTAAGGCAGCAGTGACTGCACTAGTGGACGTGCACTGAGGTCGCGGTCTGTAGCTTCGTCGAGGGTACCTGTTGTGTTTGCCTTATGAATGACCTCGAGCACCACAGTCTTTGCGGCCCACAAGTGGAAGCTCTGGCCTGGACTGTGGCAGTTCCCATGTTTAGTATGGGCTGCCTACTGCTCCTGTACTTTGCTTCCTGTCTTCTTCAGCTGGGCTTTTGCCTCTTGCCATAACTACTGTTTTTTTTCTTCCCAGCTCGAGCTTTGGGCACAGAAGTGATTCAGCTCTTCCCTGAGAAAGGGAACATGGGAAAGATCCTCCCCGAATACCTCAGCAACTGGACCATGGAGAAAGTCAGACGAGGTAGAGAGAGCGTTTCCACATGAGGCCTCTCTATTTCATTTGAGTGTGGCCTAAGGCAAAGTGAGCTTCTTTGAGAACCCCCTTGGCCTATGTCCTGTTACTTGGCAGGTGAAATGTTCTGTCATTGTCCAGTCAGCCAAGTTCATCTAGGTGTATGGAATCTGATGCACTAAGTTCCCAGCAAGGCTAAAAACGAATTGCGGGGGTAGCTTCTTGCAGCTCTCCACAGCTGCCTGTGTGCTGATGACTGGTGGCGTTACTGTTGGGGAGGCTCTACTTCCCACAAGGGTGGCAGGCTCATGGGCTCAGCCTCCGCTCTCCTTTACCTTTACAGAGGGGGTTAAGGTGATGCCCAGTGCTATTGTGCAGTCAGTCGGAGTCAGCGGTGGCAAGTTGCTCATCAAGCTGAAAGACGGCAGGAAGGTAAGGAGGGCGAGACAGGCTGCCAGGGAACCTTCTGGAGCGGGACGCTCCCCTCCCCTTTCCTCATTCTCACTCCTTCATTTGATACCAGTAGATTAGTTTTCTTGGCAGCCACATTACACTGTCAAGAGTTTTCTGAATTAATATACCCCCCATTAAAATGGATTGATGAGGGCCAGAGTAGGCACCTGTGAACCACTTTTCCCTTCACTTCTTCTTAGCTGGAGCACACACTTTTCAAGTCCTTGCCGTGGTGGCAGATTTCTGGTCGGATGACATGGAGTATATATATGGGGCAGGATCAGGGTTTATGAAATAGAATTTAAAATCTGTTTACCAGAACAAGTTAAACTATATGTGTATATTTTTGTTGTTGCTGTTTTTTGTTTTGTTTTATTTTTGCCACAGGGCACACATATGTTCTCCTGGGGGAAAGATGATGAAAAATGAGAAATCACCCCCCAGGGAGGATGGCCACACCACTATCCCTTCTCCTCTCAGGATTTTGGGCACACATGCACCCAGCATGATTTTTCAAGCCAGCGGGTCCGGAGCTCTATCTGTGGCTAGCCATGTGGGAATCCAGTGCCTTAACTATCATAGCACCTGTTGGCCCCAACTTATAATTTTTTAAAGCCCCTCTCTCTTTTTTTTTTCAGTTTGTTATAGAGTATTTGCACTTACAGAGAGAGACAGAGATAGAGAAGGGAGATGAGAAATCACCCCCTAAGAGAGATGGCCACATCATAGTCTATTCTCCTCCATTCTCCTCTTGGGATTTTGGGCATGCACGCATATGCACCTGGAGTAATTTTTGAGCTGCTGGGTCTGGGACTTGAACCACCCAGTCAGCCATGTGGGATCCAGCCGCCTTAACCTCCATGCCTTCTACTGACCCTAAAGCTCCAGTTCTTAATAACTACTAATGGATACTATGTTAATTGACATAGTCTATTCTCCTCCATTCTCCTCTTGGGATTTTGGGCATGCACGCATATGCACCTGGAGTAATTTTTGAGCTGCTGGGTCTGGGACTTGAACCACCCAGTCAGCCATGTGGGATCCAGCCGCCTTAACCTCCATGCCTTCTACTGACCCTAAAGCTCCAGTTCTTAATAACTACTAATGGATACTATGTTAATTGACTGGATTTTTTATTTTTATTTTTATTTATTTATTTTTATTTTTTTGCCTCAGGTAGAAACTGACCACATAGTGGCAGGGGGGGGGCCGGGGGCCAGCCCAATGTCGAGTTGGCCAAGACTGGGGGACTGGAAATAGACTCTGATTTTGGTGGCTTCCGGGTAAACGCAGAGCTTCAGGCACGCTCGAACATCTGGGTGGTAAGTACCATACAGCATAACCAGACACGCGTCATGGTCCCCAGGGTGTGAGCAGCGTACCCAGTAGTGTGTTGAAGCTCATTGGCAGCTTAATCAAATAAGAGTCACAGCGCTTGGTGGCTGAGGATAAAGAATAGAAACCCACAGGCAGCTGGATTTAGAAGGTCAGGTATGGCCCCATCTGCAGGCCAGGAGATGAGTGAGCAGTGAGCGGGTCTACAGTAGAGCTCTTCCAGTTCTGCTTGTTGACAGTCGTTGGCGAAATCCCTGGCAGATATGCGCTCAGCTTTTGGGAGGATCTACTGTTCTCTCTACTCAAACACGAGTCCAGGGAATGGAGGATAGAACACTTTTATAACATGTTCCTTAGCAAGGAAAATTACTCTGTTTTTGTTTTCCTGGAGTGCTATTTTTAAAAATCTATTATGACAAAAAAGACTATAGTATGTAGAAACTATGAGGTAATTTCCCCACTGCAAAAACATTAAAAGTGTATTGTGTTTGACTATGGACTGCGAATAAAAACATAGGAGCCTTGGAGGGATTATTTTTCTCCCCATATGATAAAATGTACTGAGTTTTTAAACCTGTTATAAAAGTAATGTGCACTCAATGTAGAAGTCACAGACAACAGGGAGAAAGGGAAAGGGAAAGATCACCGATGACACCATTAATGTTTTGCTGTTTCTCCTTGCTTTCGGGTTTTTTTTTTTTTTTTGTTCAAAGTTTTTATTCTTTGTTTTCACAGTCATGGCAAACATACTACATATACACATTTGTATTCTGCTTCTTTCACAGTAAACATCATAAATGAAAGCATTTTACATACTATTTCAGACTCTCTGAACAGTTTAATGACTCTGATACTTCACTAAGTGAATTTCATAGCTTGCTTTACCATTGCTCACTTGTTGGAGTTAGGTTGCTCTGGGGGAGCAATAGCTAAATAGCCACACAGATGAACAATGGGTTAGAGAGCTCAAGCGACCACATCCTTCATCAGGCTGGCTCTGTTCACTCCCGACCTGGGGTTTTCTCCCTCTGCTTGCCTCTTTCAGTGTCACTCATACGGTGCATTATTTGCTTACATGGCACTGTAGTTCCAAACATCACTCCGTCATCCTGGACCAGGGGATATATGCTCCTCAGAGGCGAGGTCCATGTCACTTTCATCTCAGCAGCCCAGATGGCATAATGCTTTTGTATACACTAAGTGCTCCTTAAATATTTGTTGAATGAATACTGAATGATCCAAAAAAAGTCTTCTCTTGGAAAACTTTAAAATGAGAGCCAGTCACATTTAAAAACAGGTTTCTACATATAGAAAATAATACTCTGTAATGTAGTGAAAGCTGATGAGTATAAGGAGCTACCTATTATGTACAGAAGGAAATGATAAGAGTTAAAAGAATATTTGGATTTATTTTCATAGAGATCCTGGAAGGACGTATATAGAAACTGATAGCCAATGGTATACCAGGAGGCAGGGAGAATAGGACAGACAAAGATAGGAAGAAGCAAAGTTTGTCAATGTTGGAATCTTTCTTTCTCTCTCTCTCCCTCCCTCCCTCCCTCTCTCCCTCACCCCCCTCCTTTTCTTTTTGAATTGCCAGTGGGTGTATGTGCTCTCCAGAGAGAGAGAGACAGACAGACAGACAGAGGGGAAGAGGGAAAATGCACCCCACAGTAGGGTATGATCCCTTCTCCTTTATTTCTTCATCCTGTTAGGATTTGGGAATGTGTGCACGCGCACACACACACACGCACGCACACACACGCACACACACAGCTGGTATTTGTTCAAAGCTTTCAGGTCCAGGACTCAAATCATTATCAGCCATGTGGGACTTGGCTCCCTTTACTAAGCTATGGGGCTGGCCCAAGTCTGAATCTCTTTTTAAATTGTTTTCATTTTTTTACCCATGTGAATGTGTTACTTAGTCAAAAAATACGCTGTACTAAAAAATTTTGAACTTTCCAGATAAGCAAAATATAAAGCAGTGAAAAACATTTTAATGATACTAGCCAAAGAACTAATCAACATTTTGCTGTGTCTCCTTCTGCTAGTATTTTTAAATAAAAACGAAATTGTACTATTAAAAAACAGTATTCTGCATCATGGTTGTTATTATTACTATTACTCTGTCTGCTAAGGACAGGATGAGAAGAAATAGGACTAAGCAGACTGAAGCATACAAGATTTTAGTTAGCTTTGTGTAAGTACAGAATAGTTTTTAGAATGACATCTCGGGACCAGCCAGTGGCATGGTGGATAGGGCGGCTGGATCACACATGGCTGACTGTGATTAAGGACCTAGATCTGGCAGCTTGAAAAACATGCCAGGTGCCTCTGCACTCAAAATCCCAAGAAGAGAAGGGAGGAGAAGGGATCATAGCATGGCCATTCCCCCCAGGGGGGTGCTTTCTCACTTTCTCTCTTTCTTGCACGCTCTGTGTCTTTGGTGAGCACACAGACTCTTTAACAAATTTTAAAAAATGAAGTCTCAACTGTTTTTGATAATTTAGCTATGATTCTGGCCTGTAGATGGAAAACATTAGTTAGTTAACATTGCAAGAGTTCTCTGAGCCCCAGAAGTTTGTATCTGCCCTTGCTGTGCTTTTTTATCCTGTGTTTATGTCATGCATTTGTATCCAAGGCAGGAGATGCGGCGTGCTTCTATGACATCAAGTTGGGTAGGAGGCGGGTAGAACACCATGACCACGCTGTTGTGAGTGGAAGACTGGCTGGAGAAAATATGACTGGAGCTGCTAAGCCGTACTGGCATCAGTCCATGTTCTGGTAATCACCGTGCTCCTCGGGGGCTCACTTGGTTAGAACTCAGTATTAATAGGGCCGGTGGGTGGTGTGGAGGTTAAGGTGGCTGATCCCACATGGCCGACTGTATAGTTCAAGTCCCAGACCTGATGGCTTGGAAGACATGCTGGGTGCATGTGCATGCCTGTCCCCAATCTACCCCAATCTAGAGAGGAGAGTGGGGGAGAGGAGATTGTGGCATGGTCATCCCCCACGGTGGGGGGGGTTCTCACTTTTCTTTCCTCTATCTCATGGGATCATGCACCCTATAGCAAATTTTTTAAAAAGAACTCAGTATTAGTAAATCATAGCACAGAGTGATGGTTTGGTTTCCTTGTCAGCCACTTGGCTTCACATGAAAGAGAAAAAAATTTCATCTCATGTCCATACAGTCTACCCCAAAAATGGCCATGTGGTCAGTGTCCTGCTTGGTATAGGGTAGATTAGGTGAGTGAATGGAGCTGGCACTTACATCCTGGCAAAGTAGCTCGGAGTTGGAGCCATAGTAGGTGGTACGACAGTATATTCGTTGGTATAGACAGAAGTTTGCTTTAATTTGTTCCTTATTGGTAATCCTAATGAGCCCAACATATTGAAGACAAGATCAGTGGTCCAAAGTCAGGCCTGTATAGACAGTTCTTTGGATAAAGAAAGGTTAGCAGTGGACATTCCTGAGTCCTGGGGCCAGCCCTATTTGACTTTCAGCTTGTTGATTTGCAAGATGGAGTACATAAAAAACTTCAAGGTTTCAGAAACCTCTAAGTGGTTTCTGTTGGGGATATTCTTAGCGGATGGAAGTACATTTTAGGACACTCGCACACAGTTTTATGAGTAAGCAGCAAAAAAATAATGCATTTCAGGGTCGACCTAAGTAAGATAAATACAATTAGGGGAAACAGCCCGTAACTACACAGTTATCAGTTAAGTAGGGCCTACGACCAGTGTCCAAGGAGGCATGGAGACTGTTCCCTGAAACCAGCAGTCCAGTGAGCTGGTGTAACCAAGTGGATAGCAGAAGGCAAACACCAGAGACCAAACAACCAGAGCACCCTAGATGGTTACAAAAGCCATGGTGGTGAGGTGTCTGTGCCTCAAATATTCTTGGACTTCCTAGCAGATTCAGAGTAATGATGGTCAAAAAAGTTTCCAAGGCCGGCCCCGTAGTGCAGTGGTTAAGGCAGCAGGATCCCACCTGGCTGACCATGGTTTGAATCCTGGCCCCAACCGCTTGAAAAGCACACTGGGCACATATGCGTGCCCAAAGTCCTGATAGGAAGGAAGGATGGATGAGGAAGGATTACAGCATGACCATACCCTGTTGGGTTCTCTCTCTTTTCCTCTCTCTCTCCTCATAAGTGCATGTGCCCACTGATAATAAAAAGAGAAAAAAAAAATAGCAAGAGTTTCCAGGAAGAGCAATTAAAATGACCAAGTCAATGAAAGTGCCTCTTTATAGCATTCCAGTCTTAAAAAATAAAAACTAAGGTGGCATGGTGGTTAAAGTGCTGGACTCCCACATGGCCAACCACAGTTCAAGTCCCAGACCCAGTGGCTTAAAAAATCACACTGGGGGGATCTGGCAAGTGGTGTGGTGGTTAAGGGTGCTGGACTCCCACATGGCCAACTGTGGTTTGAGTCCCAGACCTGGTGGCTTATTTTCTCACTTTCTCTCTCTCTCTCTCCCTCCCTCCCTTGGCCCTTTTTTTTTTCTCCCTCTCCCTATCCTTCTCTGTTCAAATTTAAATAAATAAATAAATAAAGTGAAATAAAATAAAATTTTAAAAAATCACACTAGGTGTGTTTGCATGCGTGCCCAAAATCCTGGGAGAATAGAGAAGGGATTGTGGCGTGGCTATCCCCCTGGAAGGTGAGCTCTCACTTTCCCTCTCATTGTCTCTCTCTGGTGAGCATACACACCCTGTGGCAAAAGGCTTAAAAAGAAAATAAAGGCTTAGGGAAAAATATGAGGGCACTTCTAAAAAACTTATGGAAAAGTGGAATTAAAGAACAAGTTTTTTGGAACCAACAGGTGGCATAATGGTTACATTGCTGGACTCCCATGTAGTTGACCACAGTTTGAGTCCCGGACCCGGTGGCTACAAATCGCACGCTGGTCTCGTGTGTGTGTTTTTCCAAGATCCCCAGAGGAGAATGGAGGAGAAAGGATTTTGGTGTGGCCATCCTCTCTGGGGGGTGATTTCTCACTTTCTGTCTCTCTGTCTCTCCGTCTTTGCAGTGAGCACACTCACCCTGTAGCCAAAACCTCTCAAAAAAAAAAAGTACAAGTATTTTTGAGTGCAGAATAATTTTGAAATTCATACATAGTTTTTTTTTCTTATTAGTTTCCATGAACTTTTTGAAAACTCATTGTATATGTTAATGAAACCGTTAAACATCTCAAGGTCTGAAATCCACAAACATGGAACACTCTCATGGTTCAAAAAAGCAGTTTTAGGATGAGTTAAAGGAATACCGAAAGTGGGGGAGCCATCGCTCTTCATTCACGGCATAGGATAGAAGTGTAAGTTTAAGAAACTGTAGCTCATTGCATGGGTATGTCATACGTATAATGGCTTTGTAAGGGAAAACGAAAGCTATTCAGGATAATCTTGCTTTCCCGCAGTTGTCCCCAGATGCCCTAGTGGTGACAGACCAGTTTGGCCTTTCTCTTGTTGTGACACACACTAAGGTTTTTGCTTGGCATGAGAGTGCAGTGTCATGGAGAACATGTGCTACCGTGTCATCCCTTGCAGTCCCCTGACAGATGCCCTCTCTCTCTTTCCTTAGGAGTGACTTGGGCCCTGACGTTGGCTATGAAGCTATTGGTCTTGTGGACAGTAGTCTGCCCACAGTTGGTGTTTTCGCAAAAGCAACTGCACAAGACAACCCCAAATCTGCCACAGAACAGTCAGGTAAGGAAGCCCAACCACTTCTCTTGGAAGAGTGTTGAGTAGCAGTGGTCCAAATTCTCCGGAACAAGGGGTTTCTGTATTGGCCAGAGGGCGGTGTCAGTGAAAGCCTCTCTTCATGGTGTGCTTTGAAAGAAAGCAAAGCCAAAGTCCTCACTCTTTAGTGGTCTGAGATCTGGCAAAATCAGGTATCCCGGTCAAAGCATAGACTGAAGTACTGTGGGTGTCCGTCCTAGACGGTGGACAGTGGTTGCTCAACGGCGCTGTTGTTCAGTTTTGTCTCCAGGGGACGGGAAGTCCTGTGTGATGAAGAAAAGCTGAACGTTTTAGGGTTTGTTTGTCTTTTTCTGTTTTGCTTCATGCTGATCTCAAGAACCAGGCCTGAGAACCATTGCTCAGGACCAGCTGTTCTCTGTGGGCCCTGGGCAGTAAAGAGCTGGGCTGAGCTGTTCTTGAGCTGCCTCTGCTTCCATTTTTCAGATCTCAGTGCCAGGCTTTCCTTAGACGGGAGGAGCCTCTCAGAACAGACTTCTCTCCCACACATGTCTCTCTCACTGACTCCTAGGCCCTAGTCCATGACCTTGGCTCAAGTTTTTTCATCTCTACATCCTTTTGCCAGAGCTATTTCTTTTTCTTTTCTTTTTTTTGGGGGGAGAGGTTTTTGCTGTAGAGCACGTGAGCTCACCAGAAAGACAGAGAGAGACAGAGAGACAGGACAAATCACGGGGTGGCCACACCGCAATCCATTCTCCTCTCAGGATCTTGGACACGCACGCACCCATGCCTGGCGTGAGTTTAAGCCACTGGGTCCGGGACTCGAACCACAGTTGACTACATGGGTGTCCAGTGACATAGCCATTACACCAACTGCTGGTCCCTGCCAGAGCTATTTCAAGGGCAAGTTGTTCTTTAAGAAGGAGAAAGCAAGACACACTATGTGGGTATGTAGGTCCTCTTCCTGTGTGATTCAAATGTACTCCATACGTATTAATTCTGGTCTCCCCTGGTAAGAGGATCCAGGAGAGGGACCCAGGTACTTTTAAATTGCAGGCCACTGCTCCGTCCACTGGGTGGTGTTATTTGGAGCCTGGTGGTTCTCAGAAGATATGTTTCCCCTTTCCAGTGCCACCATTCCCTTCCAGGAGGAATCTTCTCCACTATGTTTTTTCCACATGGAAGTGCCATCTGCCTTGGCCAAAGTGCCTCTAGCCGTGCTGTCCAATAGACCTCTCTGCCGTAATGGAAACGGTCTGTCTCTCCACTGGCCACAGGTGACTGTTAAGCCCGTGAAACCTGGCTTGTGCAGATGCAGAACTGAATTTGACATTTTATTTCATTTGAGATGATTTCCACAGAAATAGCTATATATGGCTAGTGGCTGCTGTATGAGACCAGGCGGCTCTAGAATGTGTTTCAGAGGACAGGAGCAAGTCTGCAGCTTGAAGAACTCCAGATACCAGGAAATATCCCTAGCGTAGATTTAAAATGAGTAGTAAGGGAAAGACATTTTAGGTCAGATTGACCCAGTCAGTGCCCTGCCGAGGGAGAACTTTCCTTGGCTTTGTCAGTGCAGAGGGGCTGGAGAAGGTCGAAGTTTACTGATGTATACTGACAGGGTGTAGGAAAATAAATGATCTAGACGCATCTGGAACAGATCTTGAAAGATACTTGTGAGGGCCAGGCAGTGGCATGGTGGTTCAGGCAGCTGGATCCCACACGGCCAGTTGTACAGTTCAAGTCTGGCATCCAGTAACTTAAAAAGTATGCTGGGTGCGTGTGCACGTGTGCCCAAAATCTCGAGAGGATAATGCAGGAGAAGGAATTGGGGTGTAGCTGTCCACCCTGGGGAGTGCTGTCTCACTTTCTATCTCTCTGTCTCTCTCTCTGTAGGGAGTACATGCATCCTCTGGGAAATTTTTAAAAAGAAAAAAAAAATGATACATCCCCTCTAGAATTTCCCAAGCTTGTGATAACTGTTGTGTGTGTTGTTTGGGGGACTGACTACAGGAACTGGGATCCGATCAGAAAGCGAGACTGAATCTGAAGCTTCGGAAATCACGATTCCTCCCAGCGCCCCTGCAGTCCCACAGGCCCCCATCCAAGGGGAGGACTACGGCAAAGGCGTTGTCTTCTACCTCAGGGACAAAGTGGTAGTGGGGATCGTCCTGTGGAACATCTTTAACCGAATGCCGATAGCAAGGAAGGTGGGTGCCTGCCAGAGCTGTGGGGAAGTGTGGGTTAGAAAACACTCCTGTGACCTCAGCAGCTGCCCTGAGATGCATTGTCCATCCAGGTCAAATTGCGCCTAAGCAGAACAAAGGAGCAGCCTTGGTGCAGAAACACTCCTTTTTTTTCCCACTCAGGACTTGGCTGGGTAGCCTGGGAGTGAGCAAGCCGCTCATTCTGCGTTAGCAGAAATCCATTCCCACAGCTCCCTCCCAATGGGATGTGGGGACTGGCCCAGGCGGCCCCATTGTGTGGGCCTGCCCGGACAAAGGCACATGGAGTGAGTTAGGGACCTATTGTTACTCTCTCCCTCAGATCATTAAGGACGGTGAGCAACATGAAGATCTCAATGAAGTAGCCAAGCTATTCAACATTCATGAAGACTGAAGCCCCGCAGTGGGATAGGCGAGCGCCTCACCATCCCCAACAGTGCGTTGGATGGGTCAAAGGAGCATTTTTTATTCAGCAGACTGTCCCTGTGTGTGTGTGTGTGAATGATCAAGCCCTTTGTGAATATTTCAACCATGCAAATTCTTAATGTTCACATCATGAAATAAAACCTGATTCTTCTAAATTAAAATCTGTTCTCTCTTAAAAGGGGGTGTGGGTGAAGGAGAAAGCCATGCATATTAGAAGGCAAGCAAATTGTAGCTATTACTAAGTGCATGGTTTTTCTCAGCCAGACACTCCCTACTCCGCACTAAACTTCAGTTCCCAGAGTTGCTCTCACACTCTTCAGACTCCTTGGATGTACCTGCTGTGGCCTCTGCCCATGGTGCTGGGCTCCTCCCCTGCCCTCTCCTCTAGGGAAGGTGGTTATCTCTACAAAGACTTCCCTGACCCTTCCAAGCCCGATCCTTATTTATATGTCTCCCCCCTAGCCCGTAGCTTCCTGGAAGCTGGAACTGGTGTCCAGATCTTACTTAGTTCTCTCTCTAGAGCCTAGCCCAGGGTCTGGCTCTTAGAAGGTGCTTAGTAGGTGCTTAGAAGTCATTGTTCAATGAGTGAACAATAAACATATGAAATAGACTGTGTTACCTGGAACAACTGCCCCAGAACTGAAGTGGGACTGCAGAGGACAGAAGGCGCAGCTACCGCACACAGAAGGGCTCACAGACTGGACGTCACCTGGCTAAACCTTGACTCTTGTCTGCTGTCTCCCAAACTAGAAATCTGCCTACCCTCTTTTAGCCACATTTTTTTTCTAAAATGTTTATAGGCATACCTTACTTGGGAAATACAAATCAAAGTTTCTTAAGTCAACTCATTTTGTTGGCATTTTAAATTACTTAACCTGGGACCAGCAGTTGGCATAATGGCTATGTCACTGGACTCCCATGTAGTCGACCGTGGTTCGAGCCCCAGACCTGGTGGCTTAAACTCACGCCGGCGTGTGTGCGTGCGTGCCCAAGATCCCAAGAGGAGAATGGAGGAGAAGGGATTGCGGCGTGGCCATCCCCCCTGGGGGGTGATTTCTCCCTTTCTGTCTGTCTCTCTCTGTCTGTGTGTGTGAGCGCACGTGCCCTATAGCAAAAACCTCTTCCAAAAAAATAAATAATTTAAAACAAATAAATAAATAAATTACTTAACCTTTAAAAATCAAATGTCACTCCAATTAAGAAGAATTTTTTACTACTTTGAAGAGCTGTGAATCTTTCTGTAAAGAGAAAGTTGTCAACAGTCTGGGTTTATTTTGTTTTGTTTTGTTTGAAGTTTTGTTATAGGGTATTGGCACTTACTGGAGACAGAGACAGAGAAAGTGAGAAAGTACCCCCTGGTGGGTGGCCATGCTGCAGTTCCTTCTCCATTGTCCTCTCAGGATTTCAGGCACACATACACACGTGAGCACTCAAACCGTGCAGTCAGCTGTGTGGAATCCAGTCACCTTAACCACCATGCCACCTGGCTGACCTTGGCTTTTTTTTTTTTTTCATTTTACTTATTACTATTTTTAAATTTGACCAGAGAGAATTTTTTTTTTTAATTTGACTAGAGAGGGAGAGTGAAAGAATAAGCTGCCAAGTCTGAGACTTGAACCATGGCCGATCATGTGGGAGTCCAACACCTTAACCACTGCACCACATGCTGGTTCAGGCCTTGGCTTTTTCAAATATTGGGGTTTTCTAATTGTGATGTTGGCTTACATAAAATAGTTGTACATCTTTGTGGAGTACAGTAGGATGTTTCAAAGCATGCATACAGTGTGCAATAAATTTTTTTAAGTTTATTTTTCCACAGAGATGGGGGGCATACCCCCAGTAGGGTCCTCATGCCACAATCTACCTCCAGAGTCAGCCATTTCAAACCATGGGCATGTACACATGTGCCTGCACAGAGAGGTCCTGGGACCATCCACATGGGTCCAGTTGCATTATGGCTGCACTACCTCCTGGCCCCAGGATTGGACTCAAGCGCCAACCTGTGACCTAGTAGTTAAGAGTGTTGGATCCTTGGGAACCAGCAGTTAGCGTAATGGCTATGTCGCTGGACTCCCACGTAGTCGACCGTGGTTCGCATCCTGGACCCGGTGGCTTAAAACTCACGCCGGGCACGTGTGCGTGCGTGCCCAAGATCCCGAGAGGAGAACGGAGAAGGGATTGCAGCGTGACCATCCCCCCTCGGGGGTGATTTCTCGCTTTCTGTCTCTCTGTTTTCGCGCCCACGCCCCCTATGGCAAAAACCGCTCCAAAAAAAAAAAAAAAAAGTGTTGGATCCTTGGGACCAGCAGTTGGCATAATTGCTGTTGCTGGATTCCCATGTAGTTGACCACGGTTTGAGTCCCGGACCTGGTGGCTTATACTCACACTGGGTGCGTGTGCATACGTGCCCAAGATCCTGAGAAGAGAATAGAGGAGAAGGGATTGCAGCATGGCCATCCCCCCCTGGGGGGGTGATTTCTCGCTTTCTATCTCTTTGTCTCTCTGGCTTTCTGGCGAGTGCATGTGCCCTATAGCAAAAACCTCTCCAAAAAGAAAAAAAGAGTGTTGGATCCTGCATAGTTGACAGCAGTTCAAGTCCCAGCCTTAGTACCTTGAGAAACATGCCGGGTGCATGTGCATGTGCCCCAAATCCTGACAGAATGGAAAAATGGAGAAAGGATTGCAGCATGACCATGCTCCATTGTGGGGTGTTTCTGCCCCCATCTCTCCATGTCTGGTGTGCTCACATGCCTGTTGGCAAGTGTATGTATGGATCAAATTGTGATTTCTCTTGTTTTAGTGTTATGTAAAATTTAGTCTAATTCTTTGATAATTGTTACCCCTCCCCTTTTCTTTTTAGTTTGCTATAGGGCACATGTGCTTGTCAGAGAAGAGAGGCAAAGAAAGAGGAGAAAAGTGAGAAATCACCCCCTAGAGAGAATGGCCACACCACAATCCCTTCTCCATTTTCCTCTTGGGTTTTCGCCACTCACTCACATGTGCCTGGCATGATTTTCAGGCTGCCAGGTCCGGGACTTGAACCCCAGAGTAGACCACGTGGGATCTAGCACCTTAATCACCATGCCACCTGCTGTCCCACCATTGTTACCCTTCTACGGTATGTCATCGTAATTTAGCTCATTAAAATTCTGTGATCTGTTCATCTAATCAGTGTTCATTGAGCTCCTACTTTGAGGGAAGTAGAAGCCATAATAGAAAGGGGGATAAAACCTGGCCACTACTGTTAAGAAGTCCTGCTGTCAGTGAGGAACGAAGACATGAGGATGCAGAAGTACCAATCCAGTGAGATCGGCTCACTGAAAGACACCTACGTGTAATGGGGATGCGCCAAGAATGGAGAGCCTGACCAGAGCGACCATCTTAGTCACCGCTACTAGGTCACTTCCTAAAGCACCACATGGCCCATGATCCCTCCCTGTTTGGGAATGTACAGTGACTTCAGGGCCAGACGGTGGTGCAGCGGTAACACATTCTTCAAGGGTGACCTACATAGGAAGGTTCTGGGTTCACATCTGGAGACCTTCTGGACACACTAGGCATGCACTTCCCCATGGTCTGGGGCTGGCTGAAGCTGGGAGTGGATTGTGGCATCCAGACCCTATAGGGGATCCCTCTTTCATGAAAGGAGGGAAGGAAGGAAGGGAGATAGGGAGAGGGGAGGGAGGGAGGGAGGGAGGGTTTTAGAGTGTACAGTGTCACTCTGTCACCAACTAGAGTCCAAAGCCTCTTACAGGATCCCATGATCTCAGCCCACTCTGCCTATTTGACTTCTTTTCCTATGGCTTTTATTTAAAGTCTATTTCCCCTGTGAGCAAAAGAGAGAGAGGCAGAGATACTGTACCTCCGACAGGGTCCTGATGCCGTAACCCGCCCCCAGCCTCAGCCAGCCTGGATGACGTGCACGACTTTACATTGCTATTTTTACTTACATTTCATCACCGTACATCCTCACAGTGTACAACGTGGTTTAACGTGTGGAAGACTTGTGTACTGAACCTCCATCTACCCCACATGACATTTTTAAAAAATGCCTTTGTCATAGGGCACATATGCTTGCCAGAGAGAGACACAGGGAGGGAGGAAGTGAGAAAGCAGTTCCCAGGGGTTTGGCCACATCACAGTCTCTTCTGCATTTTGTCGGGATTTGGGGCACAAATCCACATATGCCCAGCATAATTCTCAAGCTACCAGGTCTGGGTCTTGAACCACAGATGGCCATGTGGGAATCCAGCACCTTAACACCACTCCACCTGCTGGCACACCTCCCATGTCATGTTTTTAAAGAATTATTTATTTAATTTTATTTATTATTACCATCTTTTTTGTAATTAACCAGAGAGAGAAGGAATGTGAGAAAGCAAGCCACCAGGTCTGGGACTTGAACTTCAGTCAACTACATGAGAATCCAATGCCCCAACCACCATGCTGCCTGCTAGCATCCCCCTCATGACCTTTAATTCACACACATACACACTCACATACACACACACACACACACACACACACACACATCTGATTTGTTGCCATCTTCAAACTTTTGTTTGGGCTCTTCACTTCAGGAATACCACCGTCTTCCCTTCTACCTATCCAAATCCTGCTCATCTTTCAAGGCCCACATCAAGCCCTCTCTTGGCATGGTACCAGTCAGACTAGTGCCCTTGGACGATTTCCTCACCTCTGAGCTGCAGTTGCACTTGGTACCTCTGAACGCGATTGTTCTTTCCAGCTGTGTTGAAGGGCCTGTATGCTTTCCCGGAGCAGAGACTATTTTTCTTCTTGTGGGAATCACACAGCAACCCCAAACCCTTAGCAAAATGCTAACCAAGTCCTTCGTCGATTGGCTGCATGATGCTAGATAACAGGGCTAACTAAAAATGGGCCTCTGGAGGCCAGCAGGTGGCATATTGGTTATGCTGGGGTCCCACATGGCTGACCACGGTTTGAGTCCCAGACCTGGTGGCTTAAAACTCACACTGGGCCTCTTAAAAACAAAAAAAGGAACCAGCAGTCGCTGGACTCCCATGTAGTTGAGCACTGTTCGAGTCCCGAACCCGGTGGCTTAAACTCACGCTGGGCGCGTGTGCATGTGTGCCCAAGATCCCAAGAGGAGAATGGAGAAGGGGCTGTGGCATGGCCATCC